CCCCCCCCCCGCCCCGATGTTAGGCAATTGATTATTTTCATTTATCCACCAAGCAGAAGTTCTGTGGACAAGAAATTTTTCTATTCTGCTTACTGTTGCATCATCCCCTGGATGGTTTTTGTCAGTATGCAGAGTGTATTTTTTTAAATTAGCCTTTATGGGGCCGGGGATTTAGCTCAGTGGTTCCACCACCTGCCTCGCAAGGGCAAGGTCCCAAGTTTGATCCCCGACACCAAAAATAATAAAATAAAATTAGCCTTTACTGTGGGAAATGGTACGAATACAGTGGAGCCAGAGCAAGTGTCAGTTTTGCTTCCGCAAGTGTAAGGATGGATTTCGGTGAAAAAGAGAAAGCAGTGATTGCTTGCTGAGCTATAATTACACGGAGTCACTCTCCGGTCCTTTAGGGTTAGCTGTTTTCTGTCGTCCCTCCCATGTCTTGTGTCTCCAGAACCAAATGTTCACCTCTGTATCCTCCACATATAACTTGGTTTTGGTTTTTTTTTCCTCCACATATAACTTGGTTTTTAACAAACCTCCTGTGGGTCCCTCTTAACATAAAGTTATGTTCCCATCCCGTGTACTCAATGCTCCTCGTTGTCTTCCTTCCACCCTGTCCTGCAATTTTCAGGCTTTAACAATCTGCTGATTGCTCAGGAGCGTCATGTATGACTTACAGAAAGGCAGGAAGTGTTTCCGGGGACATTTTTGGAAAGTTTGGTTGTTTTGTGGGAATTTCTTTTGCTGTTGTTTAGTTTTGTTTTGGCAGTGAAATAAGGCAAAACTTGCAAATAATTAGGAAATAAATTATAGCTTTAATTGGGTGGAATAGACAAGAAATATGTCGAGGTAGAAAAAGGTATTTGGAGTTTTATGTAGACACCTAAGAGAAAAAAGCAAGTAGAGTCAAGGTGACAAAGCGGCCGATTGTGACACAATGTTTCACAGATTTATCTATGAAGTTACAGTTAAATTCTTCCTATTCTGTTCTCACTTGGGCTTTTTTAAGAACTGTAATTTAAACTCCTGATGAAAATATAATGTTCTAAGGCTGGGTGTGGTGCCACAAACCTATAATCCCAGCACTTGGGAGGCTGAGGCAGGAGGATTGCTGCAAGTTCAAGCCCAGTTTGGGCTACATAGTGAGTTCAAGTCTATCCTGAACTACATATCAAGACCCTGTCTAAAAAAAAAGTATAAAGTTCTATCCAGGTGCAGCATAATCCCAACACACCTGTAACCCCAATACTCTGGGAAGCTGAGGCAGGAGAGGTTTGGGGTTTGGTCAAATAGTGATTTTAGCTGAAGGTGTAGTTCAGTGGTAGAGCACTTATTCATTTTTGAATGCTCAAGGCCCTAAGTTTGATCTCAGCACCACAAAACAAAATTAAATAAAGAAATGAAATTTTAGAAGAGAAAAGAAAGAGTGATTTTACCACTTGGATGTTCAGTCCAAATATTTAGTTGGATCACCTCTGTTGTCCATATCTACCCTATTTAACTCCTGGGAGACCTTTCAATACTGAAGTTCTAATGTCATCTTTTTTTTAATCCTGGAAAATTATTTGTGATTTCTGAAATATTTCAAGATTCAAACCATGTAAGAGTGTGGCAGATAAAGTGGTCTAACTGGAAGTCTGAAATGACTCAGGCGGCTCAGTTCTGAGCCCCACACCTGCTTTCCAGGAAACGTGGCAGCTGTCACAGGAACAGAACTAGAAAAATGAGTGCTACAAAAGCAGTCACTAATGCTTTATAGGACTATCATCTACTAAGTTATACTTCAAGACCAACACCTAAGAAGGAAGTTTACATAGGGTGAAAGCGTTTGCTCCCCCTGCTATGCCTGTGCTGGGAGCGTGTCACGTGGAATATAAACAGCTGCTCCGGATTCCTTCCATGCACCAACCCTACCACCTCCCAGTACTGTATTCCATCCTGGTTAACAGCCCCTCCCTACCCAGTTCAAGCCAAGAACCTAGGGGCTTCATTCTCACCTAAGTTGATTCTTCTGCAAGGCCTCTCAGTTCTAACTCCAAGACAGAATCCCAAACCAACACTGCTGCCTCCATCGTGACCGTGGCGCTCCAGCTCAGCACCTCTAGGGCCACATCAAAGTCACCCAGAGGATTCGTTAACACGGATGACTGGGGCTGGGGAACCCTCACTGTTAACTGAACCCCGGCAGTGCTGGTGGTGCTGCAGGAGTCCCTGCTCTACCCAAAACCCCACAACAGGCTCCTAACCAGCTTCCTCCTTCCCACCCTGGCCAGCCTGGCACTGATAATCTGCACAGCAACGGGCAGAGGTTTTTAAGGTGAATGCAGCCGTGTCCTTTCGATCCCTGCCTAAAACAGTCCAAGGGTCCCCAAGTGCACACAATGAGCTCAAGCCAATCAGCCTCCTTGCACCACGTTGGCCTCTTTACTCAAGTCTTCCAAGTTCTGCCTGTAGAAACCCAGCTTTTTGATTTCACTGTAGAATGGATTCCCAGCTGACCAGCTTTTTAAGATGGGACGTGAGCCCTCTTCCCGTGTAAGGTCCTTAGGTACGTTGCACAATATTTCAAGAAGACGGCACCAGTGTTACCGGTTGATTTCTAGGGGTCAGAACCAAGCTTCTTTACCACGTGCTGGGGAAATCTCTCCCTTAATGAAGTGAGCAAGAGCTTGTGACCCAAGGGTTCACACACAAGGCCTTTCTTTTGCCAAATCACACCCAAGAGTTTTGTCTCCAGCGCTTCTGACTTCCTGTTGAGACAAGATCTTGCTAAAGTGGCCTGCAATGCTCCTGCCTCAGCCTCCCACAGCGCTGAAATGACAGGCGAAATGATTTGGGTAACAGACATTGCACTCCGGGTTTTGGCACTGAGCAGTCCTTCCCAGATTAAAATTGAAATTAGAGACAAGGTTTACTAAATTGCTCAGGCTGGACTCAAATTTAGGTTGATTTGGCTTTTTGAGACAGGGTGTCTCTATGTACTTCAAATTGACCTTGAACTCACCATGTAGTTCCAGGCTGGCCTGGAATACAGGGGCGATCCTCTTGCTTTAGTCTCCCCAGTGCGGGGATCACAGGCATGCATCTCACCTGGCACTAGACTAAATTTAGGATCCTCCTGCTCAGCCTCCCAGGATGCTGGTTGGGGTTAGAGGTGCACCTGTGTCCGGCTGGATTTCTCCGCACAACTCAGAAATATTCACGTAAGAGGGTTAATGTCAACACGGTTATGTCACTGGAGATGGCTATTTGTGCCTTTGTGACTGCACTTCTCGTGTCCCTCAGAGGTCAGCTTCCCACTATCAACGGCCTCTCAGGAGCTAAGGACATAGCTAGGCGCACATCATTCTCTGCAAGGAACATGAACCGGCCGAGTCCCCTCTAGCCAGGCACAGCCCATCTGACCACCACGGTCCCTGCAACCAAAGGCCTCACTACGAGGGCGGAGGGCTTGTGCCCTCTCCCGACTGGGAGGGAAAGACCAACAGGAGAGACAAGGCGTAGGCAGACGTCTAACAGACAGTACCATGACAGCTGCTTTCAATGATGAGGTGGGTGGCTCTGAAAAGAGCCTTTGAGGAAGGCAGCCGAGGAGCGCCGGGTGCGGGCGGCACTCACTTGGAGCTGGTGTACTTGGTGACGGCCTTGGTGCCCTCGGACACGGCGTGCTTGGCCAGCTCGCCCGGCAGCAGCAGGCGCACGGCCGTCTGGATCTCGCGGGACGTGATGGTCGAGCGCTTGTTGTAATGCGCCAGGCGGGACGCCTCGCCGGCGATGCGCTCGAAGATGTCGTTGACGAAGGAGTTCATGATGCCCATGGCCTTGGACGAGATGCCGGTGTCGGGGTGGACCTGCTTCAGGACCTTGTACACGTAGATGGAATAGCTCTCCTTGCGGCTGCGCTTGCGCTTCTTGCCGTCCTTCTTCTGGGCTTTGGTGACGGCCTTTTTGGAGCCCTTCTTGGGAGCCTGAGCGGACTTGGCGGGCTCGGGCATGGCGAAAAGGACGAGGAGCGAACGCCACCTAGCAAGAAGGCACCGCAGGACGCACCCGGGCGCGCCCGAGACGCCGGCGTACTTATAGCGGCCGCATGCAAATGAAGGTGCCGATCGCGCGGCGCTGCGATTCGCGGGTTTTCAGCGGCGCGCGGGCGAGGAGGACGAGATTATGCAAATGAGCAGAATCTGTCCGAGCTCTCCTATTGGTCGTGAGGTCATAACCAATGAGCGTGGTCCGAGGACAATCCGCGTTGTAGCTATAAAAGGGTGAGGCGGCGGTGTCTGCGAGGGTTTTCCCGGTGGTTGGGCGTTAGCCGTTGTTGTAGGGTGTCGTCGCTGTGATGTCTGGCCGTGGCAAGCAAGGAGGCAAGGCCCGCGCTAAGGCCAAGTCGCGGTCCTCCCGCGCCGGGCTGCAGTTCCCGGTGGGCCGGGTGCACCGCCTGCTGCGCAAGGGCAACTACGCCGAGCGGGTGGGGGCCGGCGCGCCCGTGTACATGGCGGCCGTGCTGGAGTACCTGACGGCCGAGATCCTGGAGCTGGCGGGCAACGCGGCGCGCGACAACAAGAAGACGCGCATCATCCCTCGCCACCTGCAGCTGGCCATCCGCAACGACGAGGAGCTGAACAAGCTGCTGGGCAAAGTTACCATCGCCCAGGGCGGTGTGCTGCCCAACATCCAGGCGGTGCTGCTCCCGAAGAAGACGGAGAGCCACCACAAGGCGAAGGGCAAGTGAGGCCTGCGTCTGGAATTCCCCGCGCAGCGCGCGTCCCGCAGGGGCGCTCATGAAACCCAAAGGCTCTTTTCAGAGCCACCCACCCTTTCAAGTAAAAGGAGTTGTCACAGCGGCCGGTTGTCCACCCTCTGAGCCGAGGAGAGGCGGGTGCCCTCTGCTCGGCGCTCGCACTCGCTTGGCCCCTTCGGGTCTCGGGCGCTTCCTTCCCTCACCGCGGGTGGGGCGTAGGGGGTGGGCCTCTGCTAAGGCGGGCAGCGAACGCCTGGGAGGCCGCGGAGGCCCTGTACGAGGGGGAGTGTTGGCCGGCCGACCCTGCGCCCGCGGGCCCTATCGGGAGGGGAGCGGGCGCGCTGGGGGGGCGCCTGGGTCAGAGCTTCGCCGTGCTCTTTGCTATATCGGATGTAACGTAGGATTCGTGGCGGCTTTCGAAGGCGTGACCTCGCCTAACAACTTTCCCGCCGAGAGGCATCGAACAGGCGGAGAAAGACGACCGGCCGAGAAGTGGCGGGCGGGGACCCCGGGCGGCCCAGGAAGTGGCGTGACCCGAGGGGCGGGGCGAAAAGTTGAGGCTCAACTCCGGAGCCGCATCGCAGCGCGGGGCGGCAAGGGGCGCCGGGGCAGCAGTGGGCTTGCGGGGAGTGAGGGGCGCACGAGAGACCGTGTGAGTGGACAGCGCTCGCAGCCGACTGCATTCTGGGAGCGACGGAACACGAAGCGGGAAAACTGTCCGTCAGGGGAAAAGTGGAAAGGGGCACGAGGGTGTGTGGGGCGGGGCGGGG